GCTCTGCTCGTGTTTTGTATTGTTTTATGGACCTTTGATCTTGAATACTGTTTGTTATCTCCATATGTTTCATTACACCACTTCTCCAGTATATATTTGCAGTGTTCCTGAAGTGTCTCCTTCACTACTGTTAATATTTTAGTGGGGAGTCAACAAAAGCGGCTTGGAAGAACACCAGAAGAACATTCATTGTATCCCACTAGATATCTGGTTGTAAAAATTTTTATAAAGTTTAGGAATCTAGAAGATAGATGGTAAATTAAATTCATTTTAGCTGTTAGGAACATTTAAATAATAATTTTCTCTTTAAGAAGGGGGGTAGTGGTATAAGTATAAATCATATTTTAAAATATCAGGGTTAAGTCCATCTTCAAAAGGATGTTTGGTTGCCCTCTTGACCGGCCCCATATATTGCGCGAATAAAAACCTATTTAGCCTCCAGGAAGCAATTATTTTTTATGTATTCTGAAAGATAGATTTTAAAAATTGGCATTGAATTTTAAATTTTCTGATAATTTTTTCTCACCTCCCTACCTACCAAAGTTTTTCATCTTGAATCGGTAGAAGGCAAGCAAACTTTTTTTTTAAAAGAATTGATCTTAACATTACATTTTTATATACTGATCAATCAAAGTTTATGATCCGTTATGTGTTTTTTTTTTTTTTTTTTTTTGTCTTTTTTTTTTAATTTTTGTCATTGCAGCATATTAATTTTATTTTAAGTCATGTTTATACTAGGAATGGGCTACAAACCAGATCGTCTGTGTCATAGTACGTTCGTATTTTTATCTTGGAGACAAATTCATTGTGTTAGACATCCATCATCTTATGTTGTATACATAAATTTATAAGCACAATCATTGAATTTGAATCAAACTTTTGTAGATAACAATTTGTGCGAAAATGCTAGCTGGTAATACCTTGAATATTTGCTACTCATAAAGATGATCATCAAATGATGGAGGACCCGTATCAGTTTCAAATATAGATTTTATTGTAAACCTTAGAGATCTAAACAAGAGTGTAATATTTTTTTTCTTTTTTATAAAGTAAACAACGAATCTAAGAAGAAAGAATGAAAAGGGTAAATATAAAAATCGCGCACTATGCTTCTTAACTTTTATTTTGATTTTGGCCATGTTCGCTATCTTCCAATAACTTAATCTAATGCCTACAATATGAAGAGCTACTTATTATAAGACAAAAATTGTAAAGACACCCATTAAGAATACATTAGTTAACGTGATACACGCTACAACTTGCGCCACTTTAAATACGGTTGGAAATTTAAATATTTTGTTTACCAATAAAAGTTACGAAAATACTATAAATTACACGATTAAATTTAAATGCGTTATAAAGTTATCAAATTATAATTATTTATAATCCTGCTAGGAGAGAAATTGCTATATTTAAATAAATCTATCATGTGACGCGTCGCTACTTTTAGATTGATAAACAGACATGGCGTCAAGAAATCGAGGTAGGCCGTTTGAGATACAACTCACTTTTGACATGGATGGCAAGCGTCTTACTTTTAATGATACTTATCTTTTAATGTAATCAGTATCAACCATCTAATCTGTTATGACGCATATTAACCTTTTATTAATAATCGTTGTCAAAATGCAATATACCTCGTTGTCTGTGATTTTCCTGTTGACATGCTTGTTACAACGCGAAATGTAATGGCAACGCGAAATGTAATAAACATGGATTATTATATTTTGCGTTATTACATTTTGCGTCGAGATCAACGCAACATGTAATAACGCAAAATGTAATAACACGATTTTTAGATTATTACATTTTGTGTCGAGATCAACGCAAAATGTAATAACGTGCTTTTTCGTTGTTACATTTTGCGTTATTTTATTTTTGCGCTGAAGATAACGCAAAATTTAATAAAACAATATACAATAAAACAAAATACAATTTTTTTTTGATTGCGTTTAACAAAAAAGATCATAAAATTGATTCAAAATATGCATATAACTAACATGGGAAACACGCTGTACAAATTATTCAGAACTAAAACAATGAGACCAACGTTAGGGCTTCTACAGACATAAGCACATCAAAATTTATCGTTTTTCTGACTCTGACTTTAGTTATATTGAATACACTGTGCTAAATTATAAAGCGTTAATTTAACGTTGATTGGCATATTTTTGATAGTCTTATGTAATTTCTAACCAATAACACATAATTTATTTAATTACCAAAGATGAATCATAGGTTCATTATTAGCTCTTGATATGCACGTTTGGCATGTGTACATTGGTTAAAGAAATCTATATATGTGTCAAGTGTGGAAGGGCAGGGATAGGGTGGGGTGTTTACTTAGTATGTTTGTCATTGTATTACAATGGACATGCAGAAACAATCCATTTTATTATTGGATGGAGAGAGAGGGGTGTGTGTTTTTGCTTGTCTGCAATGCTGGTGATTTGCATGGAACAGTATGGTATCACGATTTTCAATAAACCCCTTCCGATGTATATTTGTCTATAAAAAAACAAAAGTACCACTGGTCAATACCCCCAACAACCTCATCTACACACGCGCGTTTCTAATTTGCAACACCTATAATTTGAATAAATTTATTAAACTGATTTTAAATTACATGTAGCTTATGAAATCAATATATTATGAAATTCATTATTTGTAAGAAATTACCTATATCTTTTTTTTCCCTTTTGTTTTATTTCTTCTTCATCGGCCACTACTCTATTAAATTGTAAAATATTGTACTCAATCTGGCTGACCAAAGAGTGTGTAATTACATTTTGCGTTCTTGCTTTTTGCTTAAATCTCGACGCAAAATGTAAGAACGCAAAATGTAATAATCCAAAAATCGTGTTATTACATATTGCGTTGATCTCGACGCAAAATGTAATAACGCGAAATGTAATACTCCTCAAAAGTATGTTGTTACATTTTGCGTTATTACATTCTGCGTTGATTTCGACGAAAAATGTAATAACGCAAAATGTAATAATCCATGTTTATTACATTTCGCGTTGTTATTACATTTTGCTTTGTAACAATGCGTGTTTATATTTAGGCCTACAGTTTACGCACTACCTTCATCAATATTCATGAAAAGACTGAATTCTTAATTGCAGATATTGCTTAATTGTGTTGTTATAACGACTTCTATTGTAAAATTGTGTGGAAAGTATGATTTTTTACATTAAACTTCAAGTGTTTCAAATCATTAAATCATTTTTTTTTCACACAATAATCGACGTTCATATAGCGTGTATAACTTAAAGAAAGAGAAACAATGTATGATAGATATACCTGTATGTATCCAGATAGGGTGTGTACATAGCTCACGTATTCCATCGTCCTGGGTCCTTACACAGTGATAGTTGTCTGGTGGTGAACAGGCTTTGACCACTGACCTCTGATTCCACGCACTTTCTGTAACTGGACACTCAGATATATACGACATATTCAATGGGGCTTATTAAATGTTTTGATAAGGTGCACTTTATCTCTTGTTATGCTTTATTATATACATAATTTTATCTGATTAGATACACGGGAGATTATTATACCTTGAACATTGTTCCTTAAATATATCTCTGCTAAATTTCAATTTTTTAAATTTAGAATATTTCAACTGATTGATCAACGATATACGATGTCAAATCTGTATCGGAGGAGACGACATTGGATCAGCACGACTTTTACAATTTCTAAAATGTCCAGAAGTATGTAGTTTGTAATGTTTGACAGTTACAAAGTTGAAATATTACTGATAAAATTACCTTTACATCTGCAATTTTCACATAAAACTGTTTTAATATATTGTAAATCATTTCTTAACTGCAGATTTTAAATTAAAAACGTGTCACGTTTTTTCCCCTTAATCTCCATCAATTTTCTAAGCTTTTGTCGTCTTCAGAATAAATTACTGATTTCCATTACACTACACTGTAATAAATAGTTAAATATATAACTTTTGAGCTGAATTTTGTAGTTTATATATTTCGTCTTTACGATTTAGTCCCTTCCATTGCGCGTACCAAAGTTCATGGTACTTGTGAAGAGTTATCCATCACGTATACCGGTCACGGTAGCCTAGTGGTAGAGCTATCGCTTCGTGATCGGGAAGCCCGGGTTCGATTCTCGTTCGCGGGGCCGCGTCAAACCTAAGAGGTAAACATAGGTAGTGACTGTTCCTTCGGCACTAGAAGTGAATGTCACCGGTTTTTTCGGATTTGACCTTAAAAACGTAGGTTCCGTGTCACAGTAGACGTTGGCACGATAAAGAACCCTCACTGCTCAATCGTCCTAAGTGCCGAGTGTATGTCTAAATTTGAAGCAATTCACCGGCATACGGTGATGTCTCCGTATGAGTGAAAAAAATGGGACCATAAACTATATTCAATCAATCAATCTATCATATATACTTATCTTATTCATCCAAAATTTAATACTTATAGATTAAAGGGTAATTCATGTTAATTCACTGGTCAACTGTCAACGGAAAGACCTACGTTCATAGCGTATTTAGCAAGTCGAAAGTACGACAATAATTTTTTTTCCAAAGTCTGCTACATTTGTTTCATACATGTACTTGGATGTTCTAAAGAATATAGAATGTAATTTAAATTAGGCAATCTAAATTACATTATTGTCATCCTGTAAAATAATGATTTCTTATATAAAACTGTATATTGGATTGTTTATAGAAGTCTTTCTTCTGCTTTATTTTAGTCTAATTGATCACATAGAGGTTTAAGTTACGTTACAAAATCATAATAATAAATTTTAAAAGCAAAATAAAATGTTCTAAAATGCTGTTCAACTGGTTAAAAATTCACCAAAAAAAAATATTCTCCTCCAGGCTTAGGCTAATACAGAAAGGCAGCTATCTCTTAGCCAATGAAATCAAAGGAAAGTTGAGAGGCTAAATATGGGTTACTGACTAAACAAAATATGAGGCTCACCAAGGGTGAGAAATGAAAATCATGGAAACTCGTCGTAATAAAATAATTTATCACATAAATTGCATTTATGAATACCTTATGTCCAACAAGAAAACATATCAAGAAGTATTTATGCAATTTATTTTCAAAAGTGATAAAAATAAGATAAATCACATATTTTTCTTCAAATGTTAATCGCCAGAAGCGAGACACCCTTCTTTAAATATTTTGATATACCTGCTATGTTTGTTGATTTTTATTGAAACCATATGTTTATTCATTCAGGTCTGCATTTTGTTGCATTGCTATCTTTTCTACTTCCTCAATAATTTTGAAGCAACATTATGATCCTCTACATGGAACTTTCCTTTCATAGACCGGAAAATAGACTGGAAACGATCATTCAAGGCGATGAGTTCTTGATCTGTCATTCCTTCAGTTAATGACACGAGTTCTAGGAATACCGTATCGTCACAGTATTTGAAAACTAAATCTTTTCTTTTCTTCCAAAGAACATCAAACGTCACACGAACTGTTTCTCTGCAATGCACGGTCACCATTTTAGCATTTTGTCCAATTTCCGGATACTCGAGCTGCTCGAACAGATTCACATCTTCAACATCAAAAGATTTGCATATATCTGCCAAAGCGTCCTTGTTCAGCTCGTCAGTATTTAATTTACCATTATTTAGCATAAGCATGACTAAAACAACAAAGTGGCGTCTTTCAGAGACACAAGTCGATTCAGAGAGAGCACTGATTCTATTCATAATGCACTCGTGAGTATTTTGAAGAAAATTCGAAACATTTTGAAAATTTCTTGCATCCTCAAAGAGAAGCTTTGCCAATGTCGGTTTTCCAATATCTCCAGCTTGGATTTCGATGAAAGATTGCCTCCATGCATCGATGTCAGTCTTTTGGTATTTTAGGCTCTTCATCATTTCGTTCTTACTCTTCAAATGAGAATCAAATATTACCTTCCAATCCTCATCTTTATAAATATTACCATCTTTTAAATCATAGATTACATTTTTAAAAGAGCTGGATTTAAGTGATGATTTAAAAGCCTCAAGTAGAATGTCTGGGACACACACCAATGCATGTACCATGCCTTTTGTCTTCTTGGTCGATGATTTTAGTTTCTTGAACATATCATCAATAACAGTTTTATTGAACCAGCTTTTAATGCAATGATCAAGAATGAGAAATATCATTTTATCCTCATTTATTACAAAGTCAAGATTTTTCAAATCATGAATATGTTGAAAATTTGCCAGTTTTTCTTTTGTTGTAATTATGTTCGTCAATGCCTGCACAATTTGGTGAGCGAGTTCGGTCTTCCCACTTCCTGGCAATCCAGTTATGATCACAAGTTCCTTGGTTTTCAATTCTTTCGCTATGCTGTCTACGAAAGACAACTTTGGAATATCCAAATGCATATGGTTTTCTGTGAATTATCAATGACGTGTTTGTTGATTGGATGAGAAATAAAAAAACAATCAAAATCTATCAAAAGTAATGAAAATTTTGAAGAAAGAAATGCTTGCATGGAAGGATTAATCAAGTTTTGTAATATTAGACATTGCACGAATAGATTTAAAAAAGAAATATACTTTCCTAAACAAAACAATGGATTAACCTCTTTAAAAATAATCACTACACAAAGGCTTTAAATTTTAACATAAAGATAACATTTTTTTCATAAAATTTCAGTGTAACAAGGATTTTCATAAAATTCAATATTCATAAATTTATGAATTTATTTTTTTCCATTCGTTTGATATATGTACATACGTTTCTTTTCCAATTGTTGACTTTCATTTAAAGGAGAAGGCACTGTTCCTGTAAGTGACACAATATAATGATTAATGATGGTTTCAGTTTCAGTTTCTTTATTTCTTTAAGCCAACTGGCCCATCAGAGTTATACAACAAACATGATAATAACAAAAAGAAAAAACATACAGAGAGAGTGAACGTAAAGAACACATACATGGGAATAATTCTATACATCAATTTTATTTTTTCTTAACATTGTTGCTTCGTTCAAAAATTTGCCCAAATTTACGAGATCTTTAATATTGTGAGAACTTAACAGCTGAATTAATTTAAAGACACTAGGCCTAGTATAATAATACTTTTTCAAAAATTTCTTTCTTATATCAATATACAATGGACATTTCAAAATAAAATGAAATTCATCTTCTATATCATGGAGATTACAACATGTACATAATCTGTTATTTTTAGGTACGTTATGGTGTCGACCTGTTTCAATATTCAACGTGTGATTGGATAACCTGAATTTTGTTAATAGCTGTCTTAATTTTTTGTCAATAGGTTTTGTTAAATACCATTGCAAACAGAAATTGTCAAATAAATGTTGATATAAATTACACTTTGAAGAGTTTGATATATTTTCTAATATAGCTTGCCTAGAAACATCTAACAGTCGTTGTTTTATAATGAGATAAGATCTATCATTTAAATTATCTTCTGTCCAAAGTTGACCTAGACTTAAGAGGGACAATTCTTTTTTAATTTGTAAAATCCATTTGTCATTATGTAATACCATGCTTTCATAACAGGACTTAAGAATGCAATTTTCAGTTGTTCTCAGTTTGATCCAATATTTGAAAATTCTTAATTTCATTGTAACTGCTAATGGAAAACGCCCGAGCTCTGAATAAATCAAACTGATTGAGGTTTTCTTCCCCACACCTAGAGTATTTTTACAGAAATTTAAATGTACCTTTTCTACGTCAGAACATCTATGAAAACCCCATATCTCAGTTCCATAAAGTAACACGCTACATACATATGTATCAAAAATTGAACATAGAGTTTCTACATTAAATTCATACCTCTTTAATTTACTTGAAATAGCAAACATAGCTTTTCTTCCTTGTTCAGCAGCATGCTTCTGCGTTTTTAAAAATTTCCCATTAAAGTTAAATAACATATCTAGATATTTAAATTCATTCACAATTTCTAATTCAGCATTATTGTAGAACCAGGATTCGTTATTGCGTAATTTACCACCATTTCTAAAGACAACAATCTTTGTTTTTGTTACATTAACAGAAAGGCTCCATTCTTCAGTATAATTGTACAGTGTGTTTAACATTTTTTGTAAGCCTTCTGGAGATTCAGCAAAAATAACCATGTCGTCTGCATACATAAGTATGAATAAATTTAACATCTGTAAATCAATATATGGACAGTTATCTGATATAAAACCAACCTCGAAATCATTTACATATAATGAAAATAATATTGGTGATAATGTTTCCCCTTGCATTAAACCTATATCATTGTGGAAGTAATCACTGAGGAAACCATTGTATTTAACACAACTTTTAACATTATTGTATAAGGATTTGATTATCTTTAACATTTTACCTTGGATGCCTAAATGAAATAATTTTTGCCATAATTTTATCCTATCAACAGAATCGAATGCTTTTTGAAAGTCAACAAAACAGCAATATAATCTTTTCTTTATAGAAAGGTACTTATTTATAAGCGATTGCAGAACAAAAATAGCATCAGTTGTTGACATTCCTTTACGAAACCCAAATTGTGCATCTGTCAATATATCATAGGAGTGCTCCCATTCCAGTATCCTATTGTTTAGAACACTTGTAAATAATTTACCAAAACAGCTTACAATAGATATACCATGATAATTGTTAACATCATTCTTATCTCCTTTTTTAAACAATGGAGTAATGAAACATTTTGACCATGATTCAGGGTAAAAACCAGAGTTAAAAATATTATTAAAGAGTTTATGTAGCAGCGGGAGCAATTCGTCGCGGCATTTCATAAACAGTTCGTTAACAATACAATCTTCTCCACAACTTTTATTTGTTTTTAACTTTTTAATTGCTGTGCATATTTCTTCGTAGCTAATCTCTGTATCCAACTCGTCGTATACAGCATCCGAATAGAATTCTTTTTTCAAGATGGGAAGTTTGGAGATAACACTGAATCTTTAATCCAAAAACATAATTAATGACTTAAATATAATTTAAATACAAATACAATTTATCATTGAGTTAAATACTGACTGATGTTTTTCATACTAAACACTGAATTGACAAAGAATGTTCCCGTTATTTTCCGATCATGACAAGGAGCAAACGGCGTGTTTGATTGGTCAAAAGATGATGGTCTCTTCTCCATGGTGCCTGATCCCATCTCTGATGTTTAAGAGTTTTGTGTTTGTTCTGCTCATGATCAGTTTTGTTTGAATGTACTTTTGAATGGACTTTCGAACTTAAACATGTTTGCTATCCACACATATTTCATATATTGTTCGACAATTTAATAAAATTTGCATATCACACTTTTCATTTAGAAAAAAGTAAATATTTTCAAATTATTCAGTGTTTACTTCGCAAATCGATGTCAAGCTGCGGATTCTTCGAGGTCCTGTGTCACGGCAGGCGTTGGTACGTTAAAGAACCCTCATTGCTCAATTAATGACCATGAGAGCCGAGTAAAGATCAAAATTTGAAGCCCTTCACCGGTTTATGGTGACGTCTCTTTTTGAGTGAAAAATTCTCAAAAACATACAGTCTATCAACATTTACTGTCGAAAAATCTCCTCGCAATTCTTTGAATTTTCACAGGATTGTTCTGTGACATCACACCTTCACGGTAGCTCAGTCGATATCGATAGAGCGCTCGCTCCGTGATCGGGAGGTCGTGAGTTTGAATCTTGACCGCAACTGACCTAAGTCAATAAAAAATGTGCAGCAACTGTTTCTTCGTCTTGCGCTCGGCACTTGAAGTGAAAGTTGCGGGTCCTGCGGAAAAGACCTTAAAAACAAAAAGTCCGTTATCACGGCAGGTGTTTGCACGATAAATATACCTTACTGCTTAATGCCCCGAGTGCTGAGTAAAGGTCTAAATTTGAAGCCCTTCAGCGGTATATGGTGACGTTTTTACATGAATGAAAAATTCTCGAATGGGACGTTAAACAACATACAATCAATCAATCTATGACATCACATCTAAATCTGACATATTTGTTTAAAACTCCTGTTTAGGAATGAAGAAAAAAAACCGAACCAAATGTCTTTCAGGATATCACATTCAATGAATTTTTGATCTCAACAATTTCAACAGAAAAAAAATAATTACACTGTCAGAAAATAAACAAATTTGATATGCCTTACACTAAGTACTCCTAAACAGTTACTTGTTGGGAGGTTTTTTCTGTCCTTTTAATTGACATGTCAAACAGCTGTGCTCTACAGACATGTCCTGATGCCTTATCAGATATACACGAATGTGTCTGTAGAGAATTGGACAGACTTTCGCCAACGATGTTCACGTCTCTAAAGAGAATATTCATGAAAACAAAATATATAAAAATCTTGTGCTGAAACTGTTCTTATGTAGAGCATGCTCTTATGTATCTCTGGGATATAACGTGTCAACTTATGAATGGAGGAAACTCTTTTCAAATAAGAACCTTGTCGTTATATCTAAATGTCGAATTGCAGGCCAGAGCAAGTACTTTCAAATTCTGTCTCATACATGTATGAATACAACAAGAGGCCCAAGGGCCTTGTAGGTCACATGAGTATTATGTAACAACTTTCCAGCAATTGAAATTCACAATTTTGAAAGAGGTACCATTGTTACCGGCCGCCAGGAGGCGGTCGGTTATATGATATGAAAGTTTGAAGTCGTTGTGCGTTTCTGCGGAGTTAAACTCAAAACAGTTTAAATAAAAAATATTTTTTAACATTCATATAATAGAATATTAAAAGAGAGTATTTAAATATTTTACAAAATACGCACAAAAATCATAAAATTACAATTTTGTAAATATGGGGTAATTGTTTTATCCAATCCTGATTGACAAAATCTAACATAACTGAGGTGCGGAGACCAAAATAAGCACACGTGTTGGACATGGTCTAAAGCAAAGACCGCGTTATACAGTATACAAGTGTAAACAATTTTACCTTCTCTATTTTAACAGGATTTGTTGAATATATTTTAAAATGCCATGAATATATATACATTTCCGAAAGAAAATTTACAAATGATTAAATAACAATTCATTATCAGTCAGAATACGGTATTACGAGATTTTGCTCCAAGAGACAAGGATTAAGCGCGTTTTACAGTATGCCAAGCCTTTTCCCGCCACATCTCACAAAATAGGAGAAATGTAGTGGCGGATCTATAGAGAGTGGGGGGGGGGGATAGCATCCTCTGATGGCGAGCGAAAAGCCCCACATATTTGTTGCGTTTTTATTAAAATAAAACAACCGGTATATATCTTTACTTTAAAAACATCAAACTTCCGAGAGTTGGTTCATACCAAATTGTGCACGGAGACGCAGAGGACTATGAGTTAGTAGTTTGCTTATACATGTAGTAATGTACATTATGTATGGAAGAAAATCCTGTAATGTTGCATGCAAATGTTCAATGTCATAGGGATATATATTAATTAACAGATAAATAGATATTTTTAACACATCAAGCATTCCAGTATCTGCTTGCTTCATTGAAAGGACCACTTGGTTTGCGGCCGATTTTTGACGCTTGCGTCAATATACGTCTCTTGTTGGTCATTATTATACACTTAGCATGCTTACTTTGGTTACTTAAAATACCCAGAGGTATATCAGAGTAACAACGAGAAAATGCATTTCTACTTTATAACCACTAGTTATGTACCCCTCCCCACAGAAACCACTGACCCTGGGGCCAAGTATATTAATCTATTTTCAGACTAAGTACCACCCTACTTATGCAATTTCACTATATAATCGAGAATAATAGAGCCCCTCCCTAACACTAGAACCATTGACCCTGGGGCATAAAATTTACAATTTTGGAAGAGGCAGTCTTATTCAACATCCTAGTACATGTAACTATGTACTTTTTTTAAGTTAATTTAATGCCAAGGAGCAGAGAAGATTTTTAAAGAAGTAATGCATTTTCAATATATTTGGCCCACCCTAGCACTAGAACCCCAACCCTGGGGCCATGAATTCATAATTTAGGAAGAGGACTCAATGTGATTACAATCATGCCAACAGTTTGACTGCTTGATGTCTAGGAGTAAAGAAGATTTTTAAAGATTGCAGTAATTTTAGTGGTTTTGGCCCCACCCCTCAGGCCCTAGAGTGGGGGGGGGGGGACAGAGACCATTAAATTCACAATTTTTGTTCCCTTTCACCCATAGACGCTTTGTGCAAAAATTGGTTGAGCAATTGCAGAGAAGAAACTGAAAATATTCCAATGTTAACACACGACGGACGACGCACAACGACGGATGAAAACAGATAGCAATAGGTCGCCTGAGTTTACACTGGTTAACTAAAAAGGATAACTCTTACCTTTATTTTCGTTGATAGTTTTCTCTGGATTATCTAGCAGTGTTTTTTTCTCTATGTTACCTTCTTCTATATCACCATCATAATCGTGCCTCTCTTTATCTGCAGTGGAAAAGAAATCACTTAGAGATTATCTTGAACAAGTCACAGTTTATCATGTTAATTATGTCGTACTGTTTTTCTAAAATATTTATTGTTCGTATCGATGAAACTTTACTTGGATTTTTTTTAATCTTTCAAATAAAAAAAAATAGTTTAAGTGCCTTTTTCTGCATTTTTCGATTTTATTCATGAGAAAAGAATTAGAAATAACAGCATTCTCCCAAAAAGTTTATAGCCTTTAATTAGTGATAATACTTAACCGAAGGTCTTTAGCGAGACTGTGACTCATTTGGTTTAAGACTCAGCTAGATGGTTGCCTGTGTTTTCATGCTACAGCCATTTTTATCTGACCTAGAAACTCATGTCACATAAACGCTTCAGTTTGGCAAGAGACACTATCCTCACTATGAAATTTATATAGTTTCTTCAAAATTAGGAGTAAAAAGATCGAATGTTGATGCTCAGTGTGATAAATTTATATACGTGTATCTATAAATCACATTAGCGCAACACGAAAAGTGACCACTGAGCCCATATCCGTAAATTCCAGTATTTTTTTTTTGCAGAAAGTTGTCTGGTCATTAAAGCCTCGCACACTATTTGCATACTTTTTTCTTACAAATTTTCATTAGACATAGATATATCTATGTCTAATGAAAATTTTCATGAAAAACAATTTATAATTGGTTATAAGTTTGTTCTCCTCTTTACAAAGATGCTCAATACGAAAGTTATTCATGCGAATAATGCTCCTGTTTTGTGTTGTTTTGTGGGCTTCGATAGTGAATTCTGTTCGTTATCTTCATATCCTTCAAAAACGAACAAAACAATGAAGTTGATATGTCCAAAAACGAGATTTTTTATAACAATGTATATCAATATGCCAAAGCACTTTATCTCAGATGTTTAATACAAAAATAAAAAAGGACGAAAAGAAATAACAATAAGGCATCGTAGGTGGCGCTGAAAATAATACTTAAATAAACAAAACAACTTGACAAACCTGATTAACAATAAAAAACCAAATCTGGCACTTATCATGAAAAATAGCTAACAATGATTATTTGCAATCTGAAAATTAACCTTTGAAAATAACACAAAATTAGAACAGAACAATCAAAAAAATCTGCAATCATGGAATCTTAAGAGAATACATAACATTACATTTTCTGTTGACCAGACGAAATAAGAGGAATACCTCCATATAAAGATAGCTTGTTTATATTTGCTCGGTTGGTCATAATATGGACGATATTCATGATTATGGTTACAAAATTTGATGGATATTTAAAGCATGAAAAAACAACAATAAATCTTTTTTAAAATGCTATTGTTTTTTTAATGATGACCTTATATTGATGTCAGCAACAGTAGCCTAAGATTGGGCTTGATAAAAATTTCAGTTTTAAAATAATAGCACACGCGCTTTTATCGATACATTTAGATTGAAATGCAATTTTGTGAAAAGCTTGATGTTATTTTAAAACACTGCTTTGATTGATTGATGTATGTTGTTTAACGTCCTTCTCGAGAATTTTTCACCTATATGCAGACGCCACCACTTACCGGTGGAGAGCTGCAAATTTTTCTTATACTCCGGGTATTGAGCAATGAGAGATCATTTTCGTACCAACACATACTTCGACACGGGACCTCGGTTTATGCGGTCTCATCCGAAGGACGGGTCTCCACGTCCCACAGTAGCATTGCACTTGAAAATGTGTGAGAATGTTTTGTTGTTGAAATAGATTTAATTATGAAACAAAACATATACCAAAGGCATTGTTCAAGTTTTGTAATTAGGAGGATATTTTAAATATTACCATATATGGGAAACCCTGTACTTTTATACCGTCAGGTATTTTTGATTTCTTTGATCTTACCTAGAGGTAGATCCGTAGAATCTTTCTTGCTTGTCATTTTTTGCCGCCTTTTCTGTTCTATTAAAAAAACGTGATGTTATCGCAAAACAATAACACTGGTAGAATGTTCATATGAATATCTAATTTCTTTAAAAATAAAAAATGCATAACTGTTGTTGATCCACATATATATTTCTTTTCTCTTCCAGAATATCACAATGGCCAACACCAAAGGAAGGACAAAGAGTATCAATGCAGCTAGTGCTGAATTATCCCCTCCACTTTCTTCAGGGCCATGGTTTACAGGTAATGTAATGTTTTGTTGAACAAAAGAAGTTGGTAGTGACTTATCTAGATCTGTTGTAACTTCCCTTCAATTAAAGAAAATGTACTTAGGCCTAAATGATAAAAACAATCGTTTACTCTTTTGCTGGTATGTTTAATTTGCTACAATATTTTATTATTTATTATTTTATTATTGTAGTCAAATTACTCTTTCTATTTAAATGAGCAATGAGTTATTATTCAGCATAATTTGAAAGAAATCTCGAAATTAATTTGACTTGTTAACTTTTACTTGAAGTCCTTTTCAGTGTGATTACGTCAAAAAACCAAACCAAAACACCATCCTTTATTAGAAAGTCAATCAATTGTTTTTCTGTTGCAGAAAATTAGTTTGTTTACTTAATAATATAAGTACATCAATTAGTAATGCACAGATTGGAATTCTTAAACAACTATATTTCCTTTGAAGTTTTTATTTTTTACATATTTATTCACATATATTTTGAATTTTTTCTTACCAACCTTTTTTCAGGAAAACATGATGGGTCTGAAATAAAAAAAAGTCCAAATAATTTAATCCGAAATATCTATAGTAACTTAATTTTTTATTCTTTAAAAGGTTAGGACAAAAAGTAATTGAAGAAATAAACGTTGGCATTCAATGAAATGTCTTGCTACAATAATGATTTGAACATATTTTATTGTATATTATACTTTTCAATAAAGGTTAATAGTGTGTAGATATAACAACCTGAAGAGTAGAATTTGAGTTCAAGGAATTTTATAGTAAAATGGAATTTCAATTTCAATAATGTTGTCGAATTTGTTGTTTGAAAATACGATTTAATGATCAAAGGATACTAGGGTGGTTTTATAAATAATACAAAGAAGCAAATTCAAAGAATTGTGGTCCCCCGTTTTCGGTGCCTTTGTGGGTGAGATGTTATTTTTATGACATATTGTGTCTAATATGAACACCCTAAGATATGTCATTTATTTAGAAATATAAGGTCAATCGTGAAGGTCAAGGGGTACATGTAAGAAATCATAGCATGTTGGGAATTATCTTGTCACAGGTAATGCACATGTCATATATGAAAGTCCTATCTCTTCTCAAAATAAGGAACAAGATGTGTTTGTTAAACACTGATGACCCCGAATGGCAACAAAACGAAGATTAAAATTTCTTAAATGCAAATAAATATATTATTACCCAAAGAAGGTTTTTTTTCTCACAAAAAATACGATCGATACATACAAAATCCCTAGCACCACCTGTTCAAAAGTTATAGTCGAGGATAAGTCTTTGAAATGTAGGTCGAATTCCAAGGTGAAAGGGTCTGAGTTGTTGGTTTCCTAAGAAAGGTCTTGTCAGAGGTAATACATATGTGAAGATTGAAACCCCTAACGCTAACCGTTCAAAAGTTATGGCCAAGGTTAAAGTTTTTTAAAAGTAGGTCAACTCCAAAGTAAAAAGCCAAAGGGTTAAAGTTTTTGGTATCCAATAAAAGGTCTTCTCACAAGGATTACATATATTTGAAGTATAAAAGCCCTAGCCCTTACCATTCAAAAGTTATCGTCAAGGTTAACGTTTTTTCATAATTATGTTAATCTCCCATTTCAAGGTCAAAAGGTCAAACCTGTTGGCATCCAGTGAAAGGTCTTGCCACAAAAAATACATAAGTGAAAGATGAAAGTCCTAGTATCTACCGTTCAAAAGTTGTGACCGAGGTTAAAGTTTTAAAAAAGTAGTTAAAACTCAAGGTCAAAGGTTCAAAATTCTTGGTATCCAATGAAAGGACTTCTCACAAGGATTAAATATGTGAAGTACGAAAGCCTTAGCCCTTACCGTTCAAAGGTATGGTCAAGGTTAATGTTTTTTTCATAAGTACGTAAATCCTCAAGGTCAAGGTCAAAATGTCTTTATTATTGTTATTGGCATTCAATAAAATGTCTTGCTACAAAGAATACATATGTGAAATATGAAAGTCCCAGTAACTACCATTCAAAAGTTGTGACCAAGGTTAAAGTTTTAAAAAAGTAGTTAAAACTGTCAAAGTTCTTGATATTCAATGAAGGTTTTCTCACAAGAATTACATATGTTTAGTACAGAAGCCTTATTCCTTACCGTTCAAACGTTATCGTCAAGGTGAGAGTCTTTTCATAAGAAAATTAGTACAAAAATCGCCAAGTTCAAGGTCAAAAGGTCAAAGTTGTTGGCATCCAATGAAAGATCTTGCCACAAAAAATACATATGTGAAATATGAAAGTCCTAGTACCTACCATTCGAAAGTTATGGCCAAAGTAAAAGTTTGGAATTTTTGTGTAAAAGTGGGTCAAACTCCAAGGTCATGGTCAAAATGTCAAATTTGGTGGTACCCAATGAAAAGTCTTGTCACAAGGAATACACATGTGAAATATGAAAGTCATAGTTCCACTAAATCAAAAGTTATGAGCAAGGTTAAAGTTTTTGTGACGAACGGACAGCTAAACGGACAGACGGACACACGAATGAGATTTAATGTCCCCTCGCTTTCGCGAAAGCGGGGAACAAAAAGTGATCTGAAAGTAAGAAATGTAAACTATCATTGTTAAGTGTAATATCCCATGAATTTAAAAATCTTCTCTTCAGAATTCCATGAAATGTTGTGATGATGAAATTTTGTGACAATGAATGTCTTTTAGTGTAAATTTTACATTTTCGGACACATGTATGTTGCCGACAGCTTTGTCTTTGATTTATTTTTGTGTATTTACAGATTCTAATCAAAGACTATTCTTTCCACAAATAAAAATCATATCTTTGATATACATTCTTAGGCGATTTATGTAAAGAATGAAACACATGGCCACGGAAATAACGAACAGCATTCAAGATGAAAAGTCCATAAAACAGAACAAAATAGGAGCAGAGCAAACATGGACCTCCGAAACATCAGAGGTGCCATGGAGGAGTGAGCATCCCCTGCTAACCGGTCACACCCGCCGTGTGTTCCTTGTCAGGATCGGGAAGTAACGGAAAAATACGTCGTCAATTCAGTACATATAAATAATTGAGTGACAATTAGAATGAAAAACTGTTCAAAGGATTTGAACATCGCCTTAAACTTTGGACATTTAAATAAATTGAAATGGAAACAAAATTTAAATTTTATATCCCATACACATTACAGCATGATAAAATCTTGTTGCCTGATTATAGTTCATATCTAAATTTAATAAAATGAATTAAATATGACAAATAAACATTTGCTGAATATCTCAGCTACCTGCACGCATTATTTTATTATGCCCCCCCCCCCCCGTAAAGGAAGTTTCGGGGACATAATAAATTATAGTTTTCGCCCTGTCCGTCCGTCTGTCTGTCCGTCCGTCTGTTTGTTTGGCTGTCTGTTTGTCAGCAATAACTTTAACCTTGCCATAACTTTTGCGTTCGTGGCTTTCATATTTAAGAGGTGTATTTCTTATGTCAAGACCTTTCTTTCGGTACCACCGAAATTGATCTTTTGACCTTGGAGTTTGACCTACTTTTACAAAATGTACCACACTTTAACTTCTCTATAACATTTAAACGGTTGGTGCTAGAACTTATCATATGTATTCTCTGTGGCAAGCCCTGTTATTGCATTTCAATAGTTTTGACCCTTTGACCTTTACCTAGGAGGATGACCTACTTTAAAAAAAAAACCTTTAATCTCATTCATAACTTTTTAACATTAAGGGCTAGTCTTTCATACTTCACATATGCAATCCTCGGGACAAGACCTTTCTTAAGAAACCAATTACTTTGACTCTTTGACCTTGGAGTTTGACCAAATTTTAGAAAACTTTAACCTTGGCCATAACGTTTTAACGGTTAAAGTCAGGACTCTCATCCTTCAAATTTGTAATTCTTGAGACAAGACCTTTCTTTAAAAACCAACAACTTTGGCCCTTTTACCTTGATCTAGGAGTTTGACCTACTTTTAAAAAATACTTTCACCTTAAGCATAACTTTTGAACAGGTGGTGCTAGGGCATTCATATATTTTACTACTATATTTCCTGTGAAAAGACTTTACTTTGGCTACCAACATATTTAATTTGCATCTGAGAAAGTTTAACCTTCGCTATGTTGCCATACTGGGGGCATCAGTGTTTCACAAACACATCTTGGTATTTAGAAAAAAAAAAGCATTGCAACGATTTGACTGGACAAATCTCTTACATGGACCAGTAAACGACATTGTAGTTTAAAACAATGTTCAGTCTAATCTACGGTGTTAGACACGAAAGCAGAGGAGAAGGAATTTTTAAGCACAGCATTTATGCTAGGTTATCTTTTTATCTATGATCACAGTTTATTGCTTCAGAGATAAAATATACATATTTTTAGCAAGTAGAAGCCTGTACTTACACTTGAAGACCTGGTTTGATATGTACACGGCTGTAGGGCACTTCAACGTTCTCCTCCGTCGACAGTTACTAGAATCCAGTCTACCGGCTTTGTTATAATAGGGACATTTTCCTACAATGTTAACCAAAACAATAAAACGCATGGGGAACCTATCGAGAAAAAAAATGTTACATGAATCTTTTAGCAAACCATCTAACTGTTCCTCACTTTCTTCAAAATGTTTGAATTCAAAAGATTTTTTTTTTTAGAATCGTTCGATATATCATGCAAAAGGTCGACTAAAAAAGCACGTAAAGCAGTTCTCATGCAATTCTTTCAGACACTCGACGTATCTCCTTTTAAATTTTACTTATGCCTTTGTACCCCTGCCCAGAAAACTTAGATCCGCATACTCACTTTAGTGATGCCCAAAAGAAACGAAGGACTTTTAAAACCCATCATCCAAGTTTATATCAAATCTTTAAATTTTAAATGCATGAAAAAAAATATAATTAAAATGCTTTAACTTTACTGTAGGACATACACGTAGACTGTATTGATATACCTGCTTGCATCCAGATAGGGTGTGTACATAGTTCACGTATTCCACCATCCTGGGTCCTGACACAGTGATAGTTACCTGGTGGTGAACAGGCTTTGACCACTGACCTCTGATTCCACGCACTTTCTGTAACTGGACACTCAGATATATACGACATCTTCAGAAAGGCTAATCAAATTCTAATAAACTAGTTTAATCTTTATCTGTGTGTTGTAACATTTTACGCAAATCATTAATCTGATAAGATAAAATTTTATTTTACATACATGTAACATTACTCAATACTGATATCATAATTTCATATTTTTAAGTAAAATTAATTACTGAGTAAAAAAATTCTCGAGAGGGACGTTAAACAATAATAGGCATCGCATACAATACAGGCATTTTTATCTCTCATAAGTTACTTTAGAAGACTTTTCCCTTTTGAGAAATAGATTCACATTATTTTTTTCAATTTCTTTTAAAATAAAAATTTGATAAATAAAGATTTTCAGATTATTTAAGCACAGAAGAAGCGACTCTTAAACACAATAACATTATTTATTTTCTAAATCTAATCTCAAGTCCTTGTTCCCTCCCTCAAGAGACCAATCCCCCATCTGCCTTTCCCCTCCCCTGCTTCCAATCCATTATTCTAATTTATTTATTGCTCAGGATAAACATCCAATGACATATTACAAATTGTACAATAATATTTACATAGGAAATAAACGGTTGTACATATGAAAGAAAAAAGTAATAATAATATTGTATGACAGGGATTATACAACAATAATAATACCTCTACAGATTTAAAAATAGTACAAATACAATATGCATGTAAAGTTTACATATGATATAACACAGACTAATTATTGACAGTTCCTTATTTCAAAAGCTTTTAAAATATATTTTGCAAGATTACAGAGTTCTTCGTGACATTATTAGCACTAATGAGCTGTATAAATTTAAACTCAGAGGGGTTACTCCAATAATATTTCTTAATGAATTTTTTTCTCAAGTCTAAGTATATAGGACATATGAGTATAAAATGATATTCATTCTCTATATCTTTACTTGATTTACAAATTGAACAAAATCTTTGGTCTCCTGGGATATTTTTGTGCCTGCCAGTTTCAACTGATAAGTTGTGTGCGGACAAACGAATTTTAGAAATACATCTCTTAAACATTTTTGGAATATGCTTCACCAAGTAATATTGTAGACAGAAATTACTAATCAAGTGTTTATAACCTACACTTTGATTCTTTAGCCATATCACATAATAAATTCTGTACAAAATTATCTTTCAATCTCTCATGTATGACATGAAGACAAATTCGACTATTCAAGCTATTCTTTTCATTCCAGATATAATCAAGTCCTAAATTATACAGTTGCTTTTTTTTTTAATAACAATCACTCCTTCCTTTCCCTTTATAATTAATCTGACACCACCATTAAATACCTTAATGAATTGTGAATTAACAGTCGATCGCATTTAAATCAAAATAATCATTTTTAAACGATAGGATGAATGTGCTTGATCCACTGCATACAAAGCATTAAACCACCCACGATGTTTTAAAAAAGCGACATATTTGTTATTGGATCCGTTCCTTAAATGGGTGTCGACGATACTGGGTGGATTGCAAAATCGTGTGCCCGATATTCACTGTTCAGTTAGTAGTAGCAAGCAGGTCGGCGATCTGCAGACAATAAGGATGTCAGAGGAGACAGCAGGCAGGAATATGTAGTCACAGCTATTTGTAAGTTTTAATTCATGTAAATATAAAATTGACACAAATGTACATGTAATGATTTGATGTATATATTGTATGATGTCTTTCCGTGACTGATATTGGCTGGGTGATCGATTTTTTTTTTACTACTTATAATATAAATTGTGGATTTCACAACTACTTTATACTAAACGACTTCAATGAAACTGAATGTTTACAAAATACATTTCGTATGAAATTGCACTCTGTTTTTAAAAATGGTTGACCTTATTCAACCTTTTATTTCCGATAATTCTGTGTAGTGCGTGCAGTTTGGGACATATTTACGTCAATGTGTCTTTGTAAATTAAAATTTCAATATTTATGGAAACTTACTTTTGGTAAAAATTATTAATATTCCTGCAGATCTACAGGTCACTGAATTAAAAATAATGGATGGAGGATCAGAGGAGTCGTTCATTCATTTTATTTCCACACCAGCAAGCTCCTATAGGCAGACCTGCAGCTTTTTGAATAGCGATGAGAATTCGAAAACTGAGATGATTTCTCTGTTAATACTGTTATATTTAATGTTTTGAAGAGCGTATACATATTTTTAATCTATCTCGTTTTCAGTTGAAAGCTTAACGTTATAGCTAGACAAGTGAAATGTATTGATTAATCCATCTCTTTATGTAAAGGTATCTGCTTTGTGTAAAGAAAACAAAATGACGGAAATCAGACGACAACCACCAATGGAGGGGGCGATAATAAAGCGACCAATGCAAGGGGCTGTGATTCAACGTCAGCCCATGCAAGGGGCCGTAATCCAGCGCCAGCCTATTCAAGGAGCTATAATAAGTAATATTTTACGAGAAAATCAGTGACAATTCAGTTTAATGAGTTTGCATGTTTGTCAATATTGTTGACAAATTTGCATTTTTTAAACAGAAAAAGGTTACAATTCAGTCCCTTTTATTGCCGAAAAATTAAGTTTCCTCACGCAATTGTCATTTTCTATTTTTAAAGGGACATGGACACATTTTCAATGATTTTTTTAACCAATTTTAATTTTTACAATTCCCAACCCAGGCAATTCTGATGATCAGCAAAAATTTTAACATCATTTGCTGATTTACAAAGTAGATACAGGACTGAGAATTTTACAGCGGAAAGGGCAAAAATTACAATAATAAGAAAACAAACAATTATTTTATTTCAATGACCATAAAAACTTAACAAATGATATACAATGCATAATCAACAGACCTTTTCACAGAACAAATATACACTAAAGCAAAACCAACGAACAAGTACGTAACAAACATACATAAATGCAAACCAACGACCATCTTTGCAGTACAAATGTACATAAAAACACGACAAACGAAAAAAACTTAACCAACGTGCACGCGGTAAATCTAGTCTTCCCGACTCCCAGCTCCCGACGGTCACGTTTTCTTTCTTTTTTTTCTTGCCGATTTCTTTTTTGTAGGCGCACAGAAAGTCTTCACACTTCTCAGGCAAATTTCTAGGTTTAAAAAAATTCATTAATATATAAAAACTTTAACAAATTTGCGTATTTATTACTGAATCAGCAGTATTATCTGCCAAAAGCGGCAAATCTAGTACTCAGCTATAAATGCGAAAACCACTGAAAAAAGGACACAAATGTTTTCGTAGAATCGCGATTAAAAAAAACAAACTGAGGTACAGTTTATATTTTTTAATAAATGAAAACCCTCATTTACATGCTAGATAACTTGTATGCACAGAAATTCCCCCACACATTTTTTTTTGTATAGAACTCTCTGCCACATTATGTTTATGTTCCCAGGCTATACAACATGGACGTGGTTCTACCTCGGATCCCCCTTAAATTTTTTCCTTTTTTGGGGGGTTAATTCATCTTAAAAATTTAAAATGAAAGTAAAGAATTTACATAAAATGTAGAAAAATATCTCATTCTCCTGACGGCCGTTTCGTCAATTTTTGTTGTTCTTGTTACATAAGTTGGTTTTCCCCAATTCTTTAAATATTACAAGAATCTATTATGATAACTTTACATTACAGTGGCATATCATATGACCGGTACGTAGCAACTATTCCAATTTTAAGAGTAAGGCCAAAAAAGGGTTATGTAGTACATGTATATTAGGGAAAAAAATTGGCACTGAAAGAAGTTGAACCTAACCCCCCCCCCCCCCCCCCCCCCCCCCATACACACACACACACAAGCACTCACACACACGGGGTTTTCGAGTTTGGGCTATATCATTTAAATTTCCTTTTTGTTTTGGCTTGTTAAGTTTTTAAAATCTTTTTTTTTTAAGCTAGATTAAATTTTTTCTTTGGTTACCCCCTCCTTTTAAAAACGATGCTACGTCAATGTATAACAGTGCAGTACTTTCATTTTGCATTATTTTACCATAAGTTTAATGTTAGATTTAGCTATTTTTATATTCACAACTTTTCCACTAATAATAATAAATCCCATAATATGAAATGCCTTTCCGCAGCTTGTTCTTGTTGCTTTACCCACTAGAGAAAACATGAGAAATGAGTTGAGTGAAAACATGTCATTTATTAACTAGATAAATGACGCAAGTGAACAAAAGCACATTAATATACAATATTACATATTGTACTAAATCAATCTTTTTGAGAAGAAATATCTTCTCAATATAAATACCTTAAATATCTTTAAAGATACATGGACACAGATTTGAAGTTAATTTATTTCGTCTTAAAGTTATTGAAACAAGATTGTCACTTTTCTTAAGTATTAAGAATAAAATTAAAATTTGTGAGAGTGCAAGGATGTGTCAATCTTACCCATCCAAAAATTTGAAATTTCAATAACTTTTAGATGAAATAAAATTTTTAATATATTTTTGTGTGATATGGTATTAAAATATATAAGTCGTAATATTATACAGAAAATATTAACTTCAAATCTGTGTCCATGCACCTTTACTATCTACGACACATTACGTCTCTCTGTATCGATGTCCGTTTTTGGTTTTCATATTTATAACGGAGTACTACATTTACCGCTTTTGGGAAGGTGATACTGCTGATTCAGTAATAATTACGCAAATTTGTTTAAGTTTTTACATATTATTGAATTCATTTACAAAGAAACTGTGCCTGAGAAGTTTGAAGAGTTTTTGTGCACCGACAAAACAGAAATCTAAAAAAAAAATCCGATAACGTCGGGAGCCGGGAGTCGGGAAGACTAGATCTACCGCGTGCACGTTGGTTGTTTTTTTCGTTTGTCGTGTTTTTATGTACGTTTGTACTGCAACGATGATCGTTGGTTTTGCATTTATGTATGTTTGTTACGTACTTGTTCGTTTGTTATGCTTTAATGTATACTTGTTCTGCGAAAAGGTCTGTTGATTATGCATTGTTAAGTTTTTATGATCATTGAAATTAAAATAATTGTTTGTTTTCTCATTATGGTAATTTTTGCCCTTTCCGCTGCCCATTAGGGTTAGGCTGTTAGGGAGAGAGAGAGCACATCTTAAAGAAGTTTGTTCCAAATATTAATGCTTTGAAAATTAATGGCGAGCTCTGTACAATCAATAAAAAAAAATTTGAATTTGAGCTGTGCTAAATTAGAAATATTAAGGAAATATATATACGTATATATGACAAGTTTCACTTCAATGATTTAATTTCATCCATAAAGAACTGATTTGTATACTCACTTTTTTCGTTAGTGACGATTGAGTCTAGATTTCTAGCAAAGCATTGCCACTAAATTGTTATTTTGATGGTTTCATAAATATTGAAAACAAATATAACAGTCAAACCATTTTCATTCTCTTTTCAGAAAAAAATAATATATAACTTTAATATAACTTTATTTTGAAGGTTACCGCCGAAATATGGCTGAAATATTACCGACTCTGCGTAAAACAGCAATAATCAATCAATCATTGAGAGATTGTTGCTTCATTATGATATCCCCTTTTATTATTACAGAACAGAGGAAATGGATGGAGAACCCCGGTCCTATCGAGGGCGTACCCCCGGGGCTGGAGCTTCTTGTAGAGTTAGATCAAATCAACGTCAAACAACTCATGGAGTTTTCTGAAAGTATTTAAAAAAAAATACAACCAATCATGCTCTCTTTGTGTGGAGCTAAGAAAAACGAACACTAATACTGAACAAAGTAGTTTCTTTTAATCAAAGCTAGATAAATTTTATTAGCATTCAAGCCCTTGTCAGGTGAAGGTCTTAAGAAGCAGTTAAGTAAAAGGAAAAGAAAACAGTAAATATAAATTTACGATCTTGAATTAACACAACTTCAACCTCTAGATAATTTCTAAAATTAGTAAAAAAAATTTAAAAATATAATTATAGAGTTTTCTCCTGCACATATAATTATATATTTTCAAGTGAGTGGTTGCGGTGAAGGGCGGAATCAGTATGATATCATCAACAAACTGGGGGAACAGTTGTATAAGATAAAAGAAAGTAAGTGCAATCGATACTTTAAATTCCTATTTTTTCAATATTTATATAAACGCATACATCCTTTTGCAAGTAACTGAATTACATACACACCTATAGGCTTTATATGAAAATTTAAAGCTCTTTATATTTATTCATTAAAAAAACGAAAAGAGCAAGTACTGAGTACATCACAAATGCATAAATCATCCCCTTCCCTGTATTTGTAATCTAGTTGTCCTTTGAAATTCGGACATAATTGAATTTTTGTGAATGGACACCCGAACCAGGTGATAAGTTTATGGGGTATTTCGTCTAAAACCATTAAAGTAGAATAATATCACCAATGTTCATAATCTGCAATCGTCTAGAAAACGAGACTTACAGACAGACAGATAGACTTATAGACAGACAGCCGTGACATGACACGATCTTAATAACTGTTGGTATGTTAGAAAAGATTTTGCGAGATTGTGCCAAAGCGCTATGTTTTCAATTATTTTTAATTCTGAGGAGTAATTATATCTAGATATTTTCAACCTATATTTTGCTGATTGTTCCTTCCCTTTTATGTCGTATTTAACTAGCTTCAGATTACAAAACATTTCCATAAAAGTTGTATGTTTATAAGCTTTAAGTCTTATTTATTGACAATATACATGCAATCAAATCAGTTGACTACATAAGTATTCATTTTAACAGATTCCGAGGAATTTGAGAGGATATGTTATGGACAATGCAGAGGTTTCATATATCCCATCCGCGACATCAGTGGACAGGTATAATGAATTGTTCTTTGATGTCTACATTCTCTGTTGAAAGTAATAACAACAACTATGTTATATAATATTCATGGTATCAGTTACTCAAGTTCACAGAATATCTCTACTCAGGTGTACTGAAAAGTAGCTTATTGTCCTCACTTTACTGTTCTTATGTTAACAATTTCGTGAAGGATATTTGAGGATGAACAAGTTTGATTTTTTCTGATGTTTAACACAGCATCATTTTTAAGAGTAGTTTAGTGCGACTGTCCCTTGGAACGACTTGCTGACGAGATTACGTCAGATGGCTGGATAGAAACACTGAGATCTTCTACAGTGGATGCCGAGCAGATCAGACGTGGACAGCAGCAAAGCAGGGAGTCGACCCGGGCCAGCACCGGTGTGTTTTTGTATTGCACATATTTAAATAAATACATGTAGAGAACAAAACATGTGAAGTGTGTTTTGATAGCAATTATAGTCTGATTTATAAGTTTGAATTTACACCACATATACATATATACAAATACACTGATTTAGCTTAATGACACCTTAAGAGGTTTAATACAATTTCATTGCATTTTATTAAAAGAGGGTCTATATATCAGATATTTATTTGAAAATATTTGATTTTATTTAATAAATTTTATATGCATGTTTAAAAGCCAGGTTTATTATTTCCAATTTCTTACACAAAGTAAAAAGCAGATTTTGAAGAGACGGAAAATTCCTCAATGTTAACCAGTTAAAGATATAACATATAATAAAGAAACATAAAAATAATAAGAAGTAATTTGAAAATAATGCCCAAGCCATGAAGATGTTATAATAAGATCATCAGATAATCAAATACATTAACTTTGTGTTTATTTTTTTCACTATAAGTTCACCTATTACATACTTACTAAGTATGGTATAGACTATAGCAATTTGATCCTTGTAATTTTCTCACCTGCTGCATTTTAATCAGAATACCCGTGTGTAAAGTCACACATTTTTTAATTACCTGTAATTCAAATGTGTGCAAAACGGGAACAAACCGAACAGATCAGCCCGTCTGGTCGCTTGGAATCTTAACGGTAAAAGACTTTGAAGAGGACTGTGCGACTGTCCCGCCATCTGACGTAACGTTATTTAACTTGACAAGCTTGGATCATTTAGTAGTTTTATTTTGACAATTTTGTATACATTTATAAAATTCAAGGTTTCGAACCTTATCTAAAAAAAAAAGCCCCAGTTAGGTAGAACTCTACAAAATAAAAAGCAGATTGTGAAGAGACGAAAATGCCGATTAAAAAATCATGCAAAACTGTAAACCATTTATCCAGTTTCAATTAGGCTGATCATAATTATTTTTAAAATAAAAAAAAACATAATGGAGAATGAATATTTTACATGGTTACAGGAAGTGATCCGAATGAGTCATGAAACGTGTCAGGGATGTGAATGGCCATACTGTAAATCAGGCCCCGACTGGGGGTTTGAACTTGTGATTGAGGCGCCACCTGGTAATCTTGTGGGCTTTGCAAGAGAATGGCATGTATTCCTTTTTATCAAAAGAATTTCCGAAAAACTAACTTTTGATCCTTGTTTTGTTCGAGTCATTGCTGCATTTTAATCAGAATCCCTGGGAATAAAGTCTAACCATCTCAAATTTCCTTATCCTTTACTTTAAATCAAGTATTCTGTAAAAGTTTTACGTAGATTGATTTTTAGAAGGTGCTTTTTCAGGCATGACGGTCCCGGATTCAGAACAGCAATTCTGGATGCTAAAAGAGAAGTTCTGTACAGAATGACCGGTGAGGACTGTACTTGTATAGGTCCATGTTGTCCCAGAGATCTGGAATATCCTGTAAGTCTTCAAAATCAATGGAATAAAGATGTTCTTGTCATTCCTAACATCCAGAATATAAACTTATATGTAAGTTTATACCTCTGCAATAAACAAATGCGGATACAAATATTCAAAGAATCCAGATAATATATAATACAGATAAATTTAAAATTCCCGCCATTCGATTACATATAATACACATAATGACTTTTTTATAATATAATATTCCCGCCATTCGATTACATATAATACACATAATAACAATGTTAAAATATAGAAATACATTTGTGTAGAATATATTTTGATTAAAATAGACATGAACGGCATTCATGCTCAAATTAAAATCCATCGAAAAGAACGTGCAAATTAAAGAGCAGAGCAAACAAAAATTTTAGAGATGGGATTACATACCTTGGAGGATGAAATATTCCCTGTTGATCGGTTACTTTGCTCCTGTCATGATCGGGCGTAGACAATACTGGTTCAACACCTAGTATTTAAAACGTCGGTCAGTATTCGACTTAATGATAGATTTTTCTTCATGGTATCCACCAAAGAATGGAAACTATTAACCAGACTCTTTATATCTTTGTTTTATCAGCTTGCTTGCCTCCTGTAAGAAATTGTTTATACCAAGAGCATGTTCTTGCAATATATCTAAAAAAAAAAATGCCACAGCAAATGCACGCCTATCCCACTAAGTTAAAAAATTCAGAAGTGAAAAAAAGAACTTAGATAACACGACAAGTATGTATTGCTGACAAAGCAGGTAACAACACTTGCTATACACACACATAAGAATACATATCAAATGTTTTATAAACTTATAGATAATATATAATAATGCATTTTGGCAGGGTAACCATTTGCTATCTTATGAAAGCAGGAATATTCATCTATATACAATAAGTCTAGTTCATAGTAGGTTGACAAAAACGTGTTCCTATCAGGTTAAACATTAAAATTACTATGTAGGCATAGAATGCATATTTAAAAAAAAATTGATGCAGAATATGATCTTATGCCCTGTTTACACGGAGAGTTTAATTCGCAGTAAATTAATGCGAAGCAAACTAAAGCGAATCAAACTAATGCGAATTGAATTGTGTTCACACGACAGCTAATGCGAAGTAAACTAATGCGAATTAAAATTCTACTTCTACGGCCAGGCGTCAGTAAGGCTGTTAAGACGTCATTTGCAAATAACGCCACCTTATGCAGAAGAAGATGCATTTGACATAAAGTTATTGTGTCTGTACACACATTTTCGTGATTAACACAATTTCCCTTAGTTTTTCACTCAACAATTATCGCACAAGTACTTAAAGCTGGCCACCGACATGTGGCATTTGACCTAATTTTGCCATTACGCATGCCTCAAAATTTAATTCGAATTAGCTTCGCTTAGCGTTCACACGGAGCTAATGCGAAGTAATCTATGCGAAGAAAATTAATTCGAATTAAACTAATTCGCATTAAATTCATCATTTGAATGCTAAGCGAAGCTAATTCGCAGTAACTTCGCGTTTAATTCGAATTAAACTCTCTGTATGAACAGGGCATTAGTAGGCATTATAAGTATTCAAACCCATCATTGCACATACCATACCATATAATTTTTACTCATTTCATACAAAGTTTTGGTCCTTAATTTATTTTCCAAACCAGGATAACGCTAAACGTAAAAATTGATCGAAAATCTTTTTCTTTTACATATCACGAAATCATGTTTTTGTTGAATGTTTAACAGATAACGGACATGGATGGAAATAACATTGCTAACGTCTATAAAAGGTGGGCAGGAACGTATCAAGAATCGTTCTCAGATGCAGACAATTTTGGATTAACATGTGAGTTAGATAAGTATACTTGTTTTTTTTGTTTACAATAACGTATTTGTTTAAAGTGTGATTTTGCTCCTTGTAGAACAAAAAGGCTATAGCAATAAATACATGTAGCATACTGCTAAGATAATTTCAAACTTAGATGCCGTGGAAACTTGGTTATTTCTGGCAGAACTGTGATACTTTTATTTTAGTAGTGTAGTCTGAAAAATTAAAATGAAATGGTTTTCGTTTGTAAAAATTGGGGAAATTTGACTCTTATATTAAGAGCTACCATATATTTCAATTTGCCATTACCTAATCACAAATATTTAGTAATTAAAGACATTAATTTTAGAATACATGTAATTGCACTGTTCTAAAACTACTGACAAGAAGGGACCCAGTGTATTTTTTTCAGTCTACATTTAATCTTAGATTCGATTCAATTTGTTGATTAAGATGAATATCGTAATTAAAACTTTCTTCCAAATTTGTTTTGTCAGTTCCCAAAGACATGATCATTACACACAAGATTCTTCTCCTTGGTGCCATATTCCTGGTGGTAAGTTAAGTTGTTACATTCAAACTTTCTCCTTCATCCATACTCCTTGGAATACGCCGCAGTTGTTTCGTTCATGACTCAAATCAAATTTCTAATGTATTCAAAACATCAATTTGAGCAAAACCTTCCTATGTTACATTTGTCTTTTCCCCTTAATTTGAATATAAATAAACTCCTATAAAAATCACCAGTTTATCTTAAATACTTCCAAAGATCGAAATTATTGAACGGATAAATTCGGCATTAAATTTTAGGAGCTTGTTATTTTTGATTTAAATTATTTTATATTTTTAATGTTCATATTGTTAATTAATTCTCAAAGAAATATTTAAATCAACATTCAGTGTTTTTATTCTTGTATGCGCACAATTTAATGCTATTTTTAGGACAAATTAAAGCATGAGCACGATGGAAAAGGCGGAGGAGGCGGGGGATGATGGATACAGAGTGAGAGTGTCCTACATATCCCTCTCTAGAGAAAAACTTTATCATCTGAATCTCGTCTTTTGTATAATATGTTTTAATTGTTGATGTTTGTTAATTTTTTGTCTGTGTTATTTTTTTCTGATTCTCCTAAATGATATTGGAGTAATCCCCCTTGGGGATGTGAAATTGGTTTAGGCTGCAAGCATGTGTGAACAATAATATTCTTGAATAATGATATGGAATTAAATCACATGGAACTCTTTCTATATTGAGATGTATGTAATGGTCATAGGTTAAAAAAATCCAGAACATATATAAAATGTATTTCTATAAACTGAACAACTGAATAAGGTTGAACCCATTTAAAGAAAATTATTATCCATTTACAGTGCCTAATGCAGTAAAAGTATAGATTGAAACTATTGATATCAAGTTCGTAAATTTTATGCCCTTAAATCCATACGTGGAAATTTGTTATATTAAGTCAATTTTAATCAGGGGGACATGATATTGTGTATAAGATATTTATCATTTTATGAATTAATCTGCAAAACTAGTTCTTTGAATATTTTTGCTGTGGAAATAAGACAGACCTGTTAGAGAGCACACCTTTATATGATATATTTTTTTCTTAGTCCATAAACACTTTTTGTTATTGTTTAGAGCTTCCTTAAATTCATACGTGCATTTGTTATATAAGTTAATTTTAATCAGGGTAACATGGTTATTTTTATTTTTTCTTTATAAACGGTTTTTAGCTTAATTAGCTCTTTATTTAACTTCTATTCCTTACGTTGTTTATGTTCTAATGGTTTCAAACATTGAAAATTTGAACTCCGAGGTCGTTGATGGGATCTAGCAAAAATAACACACCTTGAACACTACTGAAAGGTAACTATTAAAGTATCAGGGGTAGGTGTAAAATGTATGGCATGCTGAAATAAAAATCATGACTTAAACTGGAGAATATGCAGTGTACAAAATAAAACCAGAAGAGCCAAAAATGGCGGCATAAATCGAAGGTTAATACAAAGTTTTGATTTGTAGCTTCCTGGTCTGTCTGTCTGTCCTGGTTTTCTGAGCCAAAAAGCTACAAATCTGAAGCAGCATTTACATTTAATACAAATTCTAATTCAGTGAAATTCCAAACATAGCATGTTCTTTTATGTTTCCCGGGGCGCGGAAAAACAACAAAATTTTTAATATTTCAAGAGAAAATTACAACGAACTCAATTTTTAAAATATCTCGTTGGCATGTTTATTGAAATCATTTTTATTGAAAATTTTATTCACCTGAAAACCAAGTTCAACCTTAAGATAAAGTTTTATATTCAATACTTTAAACAAATAGTGTAATAGAATTTGGTAGTGAAACCAGTAAATTCTCTCTTTGTATTTTGATAATTTTTATATCCAGTACGCATATATTAAGACATTAAAAGTAAAATCGTAGATACAAAAGAGCTATAACCAAGTTTCATTGTACCATTATGTGTTTCTAAACTACTTGAATAAGTTCAACATGGAATGTATGAGATAATTGTATAAATTATGTTGTTGTACTGTCGATGTCATAGATCATATTGGCCTTTTGCGAGAAGCACTGACTTTTAAAGTTTTCGGTTTACTTTGACATTTTAATCTGTATCATGTACGAAGGTACGGAATTAACAATAGATAAGAACACATTTCAAGTGCTCCTAGGTATGATGTTTGGTGCATTAACAGTTTGGTGAACTAACATGTGGAGGGTGGAAGTTTAGGGTAGGGTGGTTGTCTGAGTTTTTTAAAAAGAAAATTCATAAGTGTTTTATTTCAGCCAGTTATTTTCGTTAAATTAAATGTTGAACTAAATATTCCATTTTAAGTGCCAGTTATTTTCGACAAATTAAATGTTGATTAGAAGTTAAATGAGTTTGTATTACACTAACTCTTAGAAAAAAGATATGTGGATAATGGATATATTATATTATTATATATATATATTTGTTGTTATTATTTTTTTATTAAACTTACAGTGTAATTGTTTTTAAACTTTAATTTATTATTTAATAAAAGTCAAGAGACTCTTAAAAGATGGTGTTCAGTAGTTTTGTTGAAAATCTTAAAAAGTGAAATTTAAAATAGTTATTTTTACAACAAGTAATAGATAAAAAAATGTATTGGACTTTGAAAGGAGCATGATAAATTAAATGTGTTTTTAATTTCATGAAACGCAAGAAACATTTTTGTTTATTTCAATTTTAAGCACCGTGGCGATTTTCTTTTAAAAATAAACATCCATTTCTGTCTGAAATAAGGAATATACATGTATCTGTGTACTGAGAACCTGAACAATGACTGCACGAAATTTAAGTGTGAAGATTTCAGAGACTTTTTAAATACTAACTGTCATTAAAAATTTGCAAAAGAACAAAGTTCACATAACACTTTATTGTGCTGCGAATATCTAAATTAAAAAAACAACAACTAAAATCTCAAATGTCAACATATACAATGCAAAATCTAAAAAAAATCTCCAAAATCCATGTTCAAGAACAGCAAAGCCGTTAGTTACACTGATATGAAGGCATCCTCAGATAGTGTAAAATTCATGTTTGCCAACCCCTCCACCTCAAGTAAACTTTTCAATACTGAACTGATTTGTGCTTTTTCATAGTCAATGTTTTCAGGTGATTGATGTGGCACATGGGCCTCTAATTTTCCTTTTATGTAAACGTTTTTGAATAAATTTTGCTTTATATTGATATTAAAACAAATTGACATTTAAAGGAAGACAAATGTTTAAAGGACGTTCAACAGTTTTTAATGGAAGAATTTGTACCCGAAGAACACAGAAAAAACTTCCAATTAGGAACACCGGCATCCTTTTAACATCTTGTGTGTATAGAATCAGTGGTTTTTAACGATGCAATTTTGCTTAAATTATTTTTGTATTGTAAGATGTAAACAATATTATATTTTATCGACGAAACATTTTTATATGATATCAAAAAGTCTAGGTTTTGATTTTCCGCAATGAAAGTTGTTGGTCAGCAGCTGATGACCAACAACGCTCAACGCATCACCTTTAAAGTCAAGGTTAGCGTAACATGTCTGAAAACAGTGAAGACATTTAGGGACCTCGGTTCCATCATATCAGACGAAGGTTCAAAACCACAAATTATTGAAAGCATTGCACAAACAACTGCAGCATTAGCAAAATTACAAAACATAGGAAGACCTTGCGCTCGCAGATCCAGCTAATGCCCTTCCTTGCCATGTCGGTCTTCCTATTTGCCCGTGAAACCTTGAATCTCACTGCAGAGATAAAAAAGAAATGCTATAGAAAGATATAATGCATCCATTACACTGATCATGTGACCGATGAAGAGGTCCGCAAGACAGTCACAGAAGCTATAGGTCCTCACGATGACCTTCTCACTGTCGTCAAGAAGCGGAAACTAAGATGGTACGGCCAGGTTTCAGGCTCAAGTGGCCATAAAGACTATCCTGCATGGCACAGTGAAAGGCGGACGAAGGCGGGAAGGCAAAAGAAGAGGTGGGAAAATAAATATTCTTTAGGGGACTGGACTGAGCCTCGCAGAATCCCAGAGAGCGACAGAAAACAGAGAATTATGGATGACACAGTGGATAAGTCTTCCAAGGTACTCCGACGACATCCACGGAAGTCAAAGGATAGGGGAAGGTGAAGGAATGGTTGACTTATAACATAAAGAAACGCAGTATAAAATGATGATATTAACCTTTGAAAAAGTTATTGAATATTTTCTAAATGTTCAAGTTTATGAGAATCAACTTCTGATTTATACTACTTCTGAAATATACTGTTGTAAAGTATGTGGGAAGTATTACCTTTTTAAATCACGTAATGTATTTATTACCAGCGGCTTGGTAGAGAAATTGCTGGACCCTTCAATGTAACTGGTATATTTCTTTTTAAGGATTTTTATGACGATTCGGAGTCCAATATACAGTGTAGTTAGGGAAGATCGAACTCCATATGGTTGACTGGAATTCAAAGAATTAATACAATTGTGAGCAATATCAGATACATTTCAAGTGTAATATGTAATTTGTATTAATAAATTTTATAATTTAAAATACATGTATGAAAAAGAATTGCAATTATTCTGTGACTGAGGGAATTCATATACTTAGTACATGTAAACTACTTGGTCATTTGCGTGGAAGAGAAATGTTTGCTTTATTGTTCTTTGACTCAACACACATCCAGAGAGAGTTTTCATTTATTGCCAAAATAAGTCAAAGGCACTGACTACAAAACAGAGAATTACATGATTTATGTAAAGTTAGGATTTTGTGCACTTACGTTTAATTTATCGTGTAATTTAAAGTGGCTATTTTTATTAATAGATTTAAACCGTAAACGTACAGTAAAAATATTCGAAAGATGATTTGCAAATTTGAACTACTCCTAAACAAACCCAGTTAAAAAGCTTAAGAATCGTCATTTGAGCTAGTTTTATATAGCACATTCGCACTGCATTTTAGAAAAGCATACTTACAAAGCAGAAAGTAAGATACTCTTTGATAAAGCGCCATCTTATTAAATGTTAATTTGAAACCTATTTGTAAACTTTTTGAAAAAAAAATTGTAAAAAAAATAGACGTAACTACTTTTGAAAATGACTTGACTTTTAAGGTTATAATTGCTTTTCTATGTTAAATTGTATATATCATATATCTTTTTAGGCATAAGTGTCGTGCAAAGAGTTAATCAAACTGATGTAACAAAACTTAATTAAAGATTGTAGTTCTGTTTTCCATCTTCTTTACCAGTTGGAGAGATTCGATTTGGATATTAGACAATCCTTTGACGTCAAATGATGTCATCAGGAGGGATCAAGTGTACAATTCTGAACCTAACTCATGTTATTTCCAGATGTAAAAAAACATCCCTTTCCAATAGTTTTCTAGAAAACAAAAAATATCTGAAACAATAGTAATTAATATATATCTAGGAAGAGCAAAGAATTGTTCTTAGAGTGGAGTATAATAGGTTCACAAGTATTTAATGCGTGATTGTGTACTAAAGCATGGTTGGAAAATGATTATATTTATATATCTATAAATATTGCTCTATAGATTTTACAAGAAAAGTCAGTTTTTAAAATGATACTCTAGATATTCTAAAGGTATTAAAGGTTCAAAGCCGTCATAGTTTTATTTTTTACAGTGTAATTTCACAAGGAAGCGAAAAAGTTATCTTAACAGCAATTTGGATGAAGCTTCTATTTTTATATTTTCGTGAACGATAAGGATTCGGTCAAATAGATATGGGGCGTCCGAGTCTCGATCTACAATGCTGAAACATCATTCATGTTTACTGGTAGTTTTGCATGTAGGAAGTTATAGTTACGATGTAGTATCCATTGCTTTAAATTGCTATTAAGAGTTGTCGAGATAACGCACATATATCAATGAAATAAACTAATGATTGGTTCATGTCAGAAAGTGAGTATCCTGTCTTAAAATTTATCAATTCTGAATAGCTGTTAATGACGAGAAAGATTTCATCATCTGCTTTACACGTCATAAAATCACTGTTAAGTTTGATTTACAAAAGAGCTGGCCGTAAAGTACATCGATCATGATCACTTACAATGAAGGATATGGAGATAACGAACAGTATTCAATAAATCAAAGTCCATTAAACAAAACAAAATAGGAGCAGAGCAAACACGGACCACCAAAACATCAATGGAGGGATCATATGTGCCATGGACGAATGAGCATCCCCTGCCGATCAGTTACACCCGCCGTGTGCTCCTTGTCATGATCGTTAAATAACAAAAAAACAATTAGCTTGGAAAACGTCAGTCAGCATTTGACTTAATGATAAATTATATTTGCTGACAAGGTCATTGAATCGACCACAGAACTTACGAAATGATGACTTTAAACGAGACTGCTGATATCCTTGTTTCATCAACTTTTTTGTCAATAATTTACCTCGTTTTAGAAATTGTTCAAACGTTGAGCATGCTCTTGCGTATCGAATCCACTGAGATATATAAACTCCGTATGCAGGTGATGAATTAGGTATATTGCTGCACAAGTATGCGAAGTTGACGATAGAAAAGTTAGAGTCATCACTTTTATCATAGAGCTTGGTTGTTAGATTACCATTGATATCTTTTTCAAGTAAAATATCCAAGTACAAAATGATTTCTGGTTTATTAGATACAGTTAGAACTATTAGAAACCGTTTTTTCGCAGTTTTTTCATTCTTCAAACTGTTTAAAACTCCTTCCCAATGATATTATTATTTTAATCAATTTCTCTCTTATAATTTGCCTCCTACTGTTCAAACCGAAGAGGCATTTATTTAGGTTTCCTCTGCATCTGTCTGTCTGTCTGTCCGTCTAGCTGTATGTCAGTCTGTCTTGGTGTTCCACAAGTTTTTCTATACGCTTGCAGAAATTCAGCTGATTTTTGGTATGTGAATGTATCTTGATGAGTAGAAGGTCTTCTTTAAATTTTGTTCCGCTTCAATGAATTTTCTGGGAAATATTGCCTTGTAAATTTTTAACGGTTTTCCACTTGTTTCCCCTCAATACTTGCAAATATTTGGCTGAATTTTGGAATGTAATTGTATTTTAATAAGTAACAGATCGGGGTTCGTTTTACAAAAGAAATTACGACTGAGACTAAAACTTCAGTTTAGTGTAAAATGTTGCAAAATTAATGATTTAGTTAAAAAGTACAAGCTTATAAGTATATTTCTGCATAGCTTTAAAAATGATTAAATTCATTTCGTATTAAATATAGATAAAAAAAACTTAATCAGCAGAATGACATTTTGGTTTTAGTCGTAATTTCTTTCACAAAACGGACTCCAGGTTGGAAATTCACACCGCTTCGGTTTTTTTTTTAATTTTTTTTTTTGCGGGGGGAGGGGCATATATCTTATTGCAGGAACTTTTAATTGAAACAAAATCATACTTGCCATTAGGAGACTAGTATTGCTTATGTTATACCCTCAGACTGTTTGTTTCACATGACATACAGTCAAGCTTTCTATGTTATGTCGTTTGATACACTACGATTTTTTATCTAACGGGCTGTCCACTGTCTATTCATGGGATTTGGTGAGATGATAAGCAACACATTAAGTTGATTGATTGTTTTTTTTTTTTTTTTTTGTTTTTTTTTTTTGCATGAAACCACAAAATTTTACCAAAATCAGCAGCATGAAATCTAACGCCTATTTAAGTTTACATACAACCATTCCCCAGATAAATTAAAGTCGAGGCTATCTGGCATAATTGATAGCTGCCTTTTAATTTTTAAATAAAAATTGGAACTCGTAAATTTACTTACTTCGTTATTGGTCATTTGAAAATTAACTTAAAAATAAAATCTGATTGTACACAGAAGAAAAACAACTTCTAAAAGAGGTACATGTAAATTATTGACAAACACTTTGCTGTAACAAGAATATCAGCTGTCTTGTATAAAGTCATCTTTTCTAAGTTCTATGCTCGATACAGTGACCTTGTCAGAAAATACTTTTTATCATTAAGTCAATTGCTGACTGATTTTTTTTCACACAAATTGTTAGGCTATTATATAAACACTGAATTGTCGACGGATTTTTCTATTATTTCCAGATCATGACAAAGAGAAAACGGCGGGCGTTACCGGTAGGCAAGGGATTCTCACTCCTCCCTGGCACTTGATCCCACCTCTGATTTTTAGAGGTCCGTGTTTGCTGTGCTCCTATTTTGTATCGTTTAATGGACTTTTGAGCTTGAATACTGTTCTACAATTTCTTATGGGTATTTCATTTATACGGCGATCAAAATGTTTTGCACCATTTTTATGACATTTCGTATTGATTAATCAAAATTTTTTATATGAATTTACTTTCATCAAGTTGACACAGAAACCGTCTTGAAGATCAGCTGTTATTTTGAAATCGATATCACCACTATCGATATTCACTTAAGAAAGAAGTAACGTCATTTTAAAGAGTATTAAGCTTTTGCATTGTCAAAAAGTGTTACCCATCGACAATCTAGAATAGAACTTATTTAGTGGCGTAATTTGACACTTTATTGTTCTTAAAATATTATATTTCCCACATCGAAATTAAATTTTTCTTACATATACAAAAATAGCATTTCATTCAAACAACAGTCAAATCAAAATTAACAACTCTGATTTCTTTAAGACTTTGAAATCAAAGATGTCAAAAAAGAGTCCTAGCATGAAAAGCTTTTAGAAGGCATCCGAGCCGTCAAATAAAATTAAGACCGTTAAAAAAATTCAGTTCCTTCCTTTAAGTCTTATGAAAGAAGTTACAAAAATGTATTTCAGTTTTTATGTTAGCACTCTTTACTGTGACCTCAATTAAAATCGATGCTATCACTTCCTGTAGTTGCGCACTATCACTTTTTGCGGTAGCACGCTATGACGTTGACAAGGCACTGGATGTGACTCCTCTTCCGGTCCCTAACCTGCGTTCTCTCGTTCTCCAGTCCCGCTATCTGCTTCATTATCTGCGCTTCCTGTCTCTCGTAGAACTCCAGCTCTCTATTATAGGCTTCTCTTAATGCCATCTTGAACAGATTTAATTCTGAAGAAGAGCTATCGTCACCAGTCTGAAAGTACATACAGAACTTGATACTGAAAAGAATTTGACTTTCTTGCTAAATAAAAATCTTTCAAAAAATAAGTCATTTTGTTAACTTTCATTTTCGATCGATATGATAATTATATATGACTATTCGAAAATTGTATCTTAAAGAGGTCGGCATCTCTTAATATTTGAGGGCGTTATTTATATTTCAAACACGACGCACTGAGCCAAGCTTTCGCTTATGCCATACAATGGCCAGTGTTAGAGTAAACATTGCTGTGGCTAACACTTTTTCTATATTGACTTACGCTGGTCTTATAAAATCTGAGACTTAAAACTAGTAAATTTAAATAAAAGACTAAGATTAAGTCGTTTTATAATATTAAGTGTAACGAGCAGCTGACTATCTTTTCAAGGAAGAAATCAATACTATATAAGGCACTGAGGGAGCGTCAGATAAGGTGCACTAAATAAATACCTAGGGTCCCATGAGACGGTGTATTTCTTTACATCTAGGCAAGGATATTTCTTTTTGAAAGACAAGCATTCTAATAAATCTGAGTTTTTCATGAAAATGACAGATTTTGATAAGCGTGTATTTTCATCTAAAGGTATTGATTCTATGATTCAAGGAGCAAACTAATTTGCTTGGAATAAGTATACTTCTCATATAATTCTTATCGGTTAAATCTGTTATACTTCAAACACATTTTAGTATATTTTATTATTGCAGATAAATTAATTTTTACCCACAGTATTTTTACCCACAGTTGTTCTTGATCTCAAAACTATGCTTAGTCATCAAAAGTCCCTTTGCCGTTTATGTCACAATGACGTAACTATGCCAAAAAAATGCCTCTGCTACCTGTCAGGGCGGTTTTTAACTTCTTCAATTTTCTTTTTGACTAAGATATTTTAAAATCATATTTCGATATGCAAGAGCATGCTCTGCGTATAAAGAATTTCTAAAACGAGGTAAGTTATTGACAAACAAGTTGATTAAACAAGAATATCACAGTTTGGTTTAAAGTCATGATTTCTAAAAAAAATTATGGTCGATACAATGAACTTGTCGGCAAATAAAATCTATAATTAAGAAAATTGCTGACTGACGTTTTTCATAATAATTGTACATGTAAGGTCATTATTTATTAAATACAAAATAAATAAAAAATAATTTCATTGATATAAACAGAATGCTTCATCATACAAACATTCAAATTTTAAAATTTGATACACTATCAATTGAAGATTTTTAAAACTAGATAACTTCAATTAATAAATGGCCAGTTAATGGTTTTAACTTTACTGGTTTTTCTTTGTACAATTTCAATTAGAAATCATTGCTGTTTATAAGGGGTCAGTAAATCACAATTTCCTTTTATATCCTTATGTACAGAGCCAAATAGATTGACCTCGTCTGAAGTCCTAAAAAAAGATAAAAGGTCTTAAAAGTTACAATGTTAAATTAATCATCAAAATAAAAAATATATATATTTATGTACAGAATTTCCATATAAAAACGTAGAAATAAAATATCTCTGGAGCACCTCTTGGAAGTGAAATAATGCTTTTCAAGGGATTCACTCCTACAGCTTGGCTTTCAATCCGTGTATAAAACGTCTGGTCTGGGTATATAAATGTCGAGATAAACAAAAGAAAGAAACTTAAACCAAGTAAAGGCCGATAATAAAAACCTGAAGCTCCCATTCTTAGTAGTGCCATTCTAAGGAAACCTTGTAGAACAATCGTCTTTTGTTCTAAACGAGACAGTTATTTAATGGGATTTAATCACCTGCATCCAGCAATAGGCAATTATTATATTCAATTTATTGCTTATTCATCATCTTTTCAATGATTTTTTTCAGTTGTTTGCATTTGATAATGTAATTAAATAGAACTTATGCTCATTAAAGTGAAATCTTGAGACACAGACAACTCAAGATTCAAGGAATTACATTCACACAATACATACAACTGTTGAAAGTAATAATGTCTGGTATGAATGAAATATAAGGTTGTCATTCAACAACTCTTTGCTACATGACTCGGTATAAAGATGCTATGCGCGTTCACTCGAATTTGTGCGTTAAAAAATATTAAGAAAATTGTAGGGAAAAAACAGGTTTATGTTTGATTTCTTTTAAAAAGTGTACATACTTTATAAATTTTATGAGAGTTGTTTTCATTTTTATTTAATTTTTAATTTTTTTAATCAGATCCTTCTTATGTAATATGTTTAAAAGAAATTTCGTCTTTAGAAATCTCTTTCAAAAAGGCTGTTCAATCAACAAAATCTGTTATTCTAATTGCTGTTGACATAACTTTTTAACCTTTAAACTTAAAATTAAATAATTCCATAATACACAAAAAATATCTTAGTCACTCACTGTAAGATTTTATAAAGTAAGACCGTAAAACGTCAAAGAAAGTTAGCAATTCCGCACCCTGTCCTCCATATTGATATCTCAGAACAGCGACCATAAGGTTTCGGAGAAATATATCTTAACTACATGTATATTGTAGCTCTAGTATGGCTTGACATACGTTTTGAAAATACAGAATTTACTATTTTATTCTCTCAGGTGAAAGGTGGCCCATGTATTTGCCTCTATCTTGATTTGAAAAGCATTGCAGGTTTCTTTTTTTTTTAATGATATTATAAATATGTATAGTCAAAAATATGAATACAGAAGAGGGAAGTGATCATGTCTTCTGAATATAGTTGTTTTTATATTCCCTATGTTCCCTTTACACAAATAAGCTCATTTCTTAAATTTTCCTTTTGAATATGTCTAAAATCCAGGAAGATCTGTTAATGATAATATCGTCCGGAATCCATCTTTTGCTGACCTCCTAACATGACTTCTCATTACACTTGAATTAAGACGTGATATCCTCTGTACGTGATATTGATTGGCTAGCCTCCTTAAGAGACCGTGAGTGTTGATGTGAAGGATACGGTTATGGTAAAATAATACACTGTGAAGCCGGTCAGAGGCTTCCAAGTCCAACACGGACGGTAGAAAATTACGGACGTGTTCGACTTTAATTTCTTCTTAAAGAGGACATTCGTGGGAAACGCCAATTGGTTATGACATTCTATATCCATCTGGCATAATCGAGGGAAAATGATCTGTGATTATGATGAAACTGAACATCAGGTTAGATCAGATTCTCCTATGGTACTTCCAACTACCGTTGTGAGAATATTGAAGACGGAAATCGACATTAATGAAACTGTTATTCAAGTCTTATCAGGAATATTTTTATAAATTACAGAGAATACATGATATTTCTTCCTGGTCTCAATGCATGCTAAGGTGGCTGATTCTTGAAAGAAGGAATAAATGAATAATTTTAATTACACAAGTTAGTTCGTATCTAATTAAGCTTACATTCCTTACGAGATCAAAAATATTTTTATTCATAAATAGTACAAATGTAAGATTGTCTTTAAAAAAGTACCATTTTGTTACTTAATGAAGTATCTATACTCCATATAGCCTGATGGTGCAGTTTTATGTCAGATGATATCTGTAAATACCTTTAAGAACAATGTAATGATAAAAAAACATCTTGTCAAAGCACTGGCAAATATACCTCTTAAGAGTTGTTGCTACTAGCAAGGAAGAAGGGAAGAGTATATGTTTTGTGATAAATTTTTTGTGATATAATAAAAATATATTAATTTTGTTGTCTATCTCTAATGATACAACCGACATCAAATACAAATATAAATATCACAAGATTGAAAACAAAAATTCCGAAAAAATGGATATTTATCATAGCTTAAAGTATTCTATTCTAACATTCAAATCATCTTGCAATATGTTTAAATTCAGATTTTTTTTTTTTTGTTTTACAAACATCGATTTTTTAGGTCCAACCTCATGGAGAGATAATATAAATAATAGGAATAGGGCTAGAGAGTATGACTTTTATTTGTAAAAAAATGAAAACTAATATAATAAAAAGTATATAAAACACATGCTATAATTATGTGGGTTTTAATAATGTTAAAGCATTTGCAAACTGTTTTACAAACATCGGTTTTTTAAGCATCTTTTGTCCAACCTCATGGAATTCTCTCTAAATAAAATAAATAAAAAGAATAGGGCTAAAATAGGCTTTGCCTGCTACCCTATCCCATTCACTTTCATTTGTAAAAAAAAATGTTATAAATAAAAAGTGATATAAAACACCTGCTTCAATTATAACTAATTGATGAGAGAAAATTTTATTAATTCAATGACCGAGAAATTTCAGATGAAGATAATAAATGATACAATATACATTTTTCTTAGTGCTATTCAATAATTTACACATTAAAATAGTAAAAATAGGGATAAGAGCAAACAAGTACCTCTAATTGTAAAATGTCAGAGGTAGGATCAGGTGTCATGGATCAGTAAGCAAAAGTTTTTAAACAATTTGATGGTGTAATAAATGGCTTATCAATAACGTGAATCAGCATTCAACTCAATATAAGTTTGTTTAACTGACAAGGTTTTTGTATCAATCAGCATTCAAATTTAAATAAATGTTGACAGGTCATTGTATCAATCACAAAACTTACAAAATGATAACTTTAACAAAACTGTTTATAACCTTGTTTCCTCAACTAGTTTGTCAGTTTCTTGCTTTGTTTCAAAAATTCTTCGTACGTAGAATATGATTTTAAGTAATCAACTGGGAGACGTAAACTTCAAATGCAGGTGATATGGGTATATTTCTACATAACGAAGGGAGTTTGACGATAGAAAAGCTAAAGACATGGTTATTTTAAAGTTTTGCTTGTAGGTTATCATTAAAGATCTGTTTTCCTAGAAAATCCGCAGATATGTTACAGATGTGACGGACTCTGTGATATCTTTTATTTCAAGACATTTTGAATATATCTATTAGACATAAGAATGGTTTGTATTGTGCATTGTCACATTAAATTACTTTAATAATTTAACTGTATCAAAAATAAAAAAAAGTGTATATTACTTTTTAAAAGAAAATGTACATCGTAAG